GTAAGTACCTTGCGACGGGAGGGCGTTACTTTAACCAGATGTAAGGAGGCAAACGGAAAAAAAACATTCAGAAATTGATTGTGAGGTAACTGCAAAAAGGTTGTAAAACAAACACCCACCCACATACATACATACAAACACACCCACACATACATATGCCACATATTCAAACGCGTATGAATATGCTTTGGATATCTACGTAATAAGTAAAAGTTATTTTAGGGCGTCAGTCGAGGCAGTTTCGGTGGTTAGTCTGTGCGTCATCGTAATTAGAAACCAAAGTATTATTATTATTGTAGCGAGAGTTATGTGCCATAGAAAATTGAATGTTACTCTAGTCTTTAACAAAATTCCCAGGCTCTCAGCATGACTTTTGTTTGATATCGGGGAAAGTTGCAAGTAGGGACATGGCGTGATGGTGTGAGCGAAGTGGCACTGGTTGTGGATTAAGGTTGAGCGGGTCCAGGGAAGCAGGGCGGCTGTAAGATTTGCATGCGGATCGCCGAAGCGAACGGCTGCAGTCTGCTCGTCGGTCTACGTTTGTGCGCTTATGTCAGAATATGGAAATGGAAATGTATGCATATGTATATTCATATATGTGTCTGGAAATACACCGTTATTTTATGTGTGTATGTACAAACACACGTAAACGTACACGCACAAACACGTCGCACACGCACACAAACTCAAACACACAAATGCGCACACACTCAAACACACATACATTCATATACGTTCGTACACGTTCTCTCTCTCTCTCTCTCTCTCTCTCTCTCTCTCTCTCTCTCTCTCTCTCTCTCTCTCTCTCTCTCTCTCTCTCTCACACACACACACACACACACACACACACACACACACACACACACACACACACACACACACACACACACACACACACACACACACACTTACAAAAGTGTATAACTTTGTATTTATTTTGTTATACACCTGTGGTGATACTTCCCTGTAACTATTCTCAATATTATTGTTATTGATTGTTGTTATTCATGTTCATTTCGTTATTGTTAATTCTGCCCGCCACATTAGTATGTTAACATTCCAGCCTAGCTTGCTCGCTAAAGCTGATTTGCATCGTGGCAGGCCGATATGGCAGCCGGTTTAAAGACACCAGGTCCACGGAGCTCCATTGAACAAACTGGATCTAAGGAGTAGAACGGGTAAATAAAACTTAATATGGCTTTGTTATCTGGAATGGACAATGCAAGATACTAGATTGGCTTAGTTTGGGAAAGGTAAACAGCCAGGTTCTGGTGATGGCCTTCCAGTACCAGGCTTGGATTGTGAGGACTGGCAACCCAGCGCGGCAAGTGTCATTCTCTGTGCCTCCTTCAACTCCCGCGACAGGTAAGATGGTGCACTTAGATGAGCTGTCGCCCAGGTGGCCCCTCGCACGAATCAGAGGGGAGAGATAGTGCGCCGTGCACGAGGCCGGGAGGCTGGAATGAGGAAGGGGCGAATGACGACACGTAGGACCTGCCGGGCCAGCTCTTATTCAACTCCCCGAGCCTTGGCTGCACCTCTTTTTCTCGAGGCAGGCCATGTACTTGCTTGTTATTTAACCGCCCGACCTACCTGCCTGTCGGTCCAACGTACCTGCTTTTAGGCGTATACGTGTTGTGGAACACGGGGCGTGAAAGGACGACCATGGAGGTGTGGGCGGGTGTAGGTGGGGGAGCGTGGGCGAGATAGCACCAACTCGACGGCAGGTTCTGCTGGCAGGACCAACGGGCTGGTCCATGTCCCGGTGCCAACAACCTTTGCCTTCTGATGCTAATATAAAGACACCACCTTTTGATTGCCGGGGGTTATGTTTAAAGTCATTCATTATTCGTGGTTTAATCAGATGCAGACACAAGTGCACCTCTTAAACATTTGGTGATGACTCTGGACATTGCTGCGCAGTAACCTTGAAGGGCGAAGGTTTGTTGTACTTTATTGCTTGGCCTTATCTTACATGGTCCTGCCGCTTGAGTTGCGATTATATTCTGATAATGGACTGGAACGCGAGCTGTCCGTGGGTGACGCAAGTGCCTTCTTTGGTAGATGGTCATAGTGGACAGTGAGTTTTTGAAGTTTAACTCTCCTCTGGACACGCATATCCTTGGACTGAAGGTAACCTATTTGTGGAAGCGAAGTCCGAAAATAAACTTGGTGGCAAATAAACATCTTGAATATTGTGGAGTCAGTCGTTGGGTTAATTTCATCATCCTGTTCCTGTTCTTCATGGCGCAACGACGGTATCTGGAGTAATCGAAGGCCCCTTAATCTCTGGAGGTGCCATTGCAGTTACAGGAGGCGGAGCTTGACCTGAGGAGGCAAGAGGTGGTGGAGGTGGAGGAAGAGACTGGTGGTGGAGGCGATGGAGATGAGAAGTGAGGCCGAGAAAGAGGTGGTGGAGACGGAAGAAGAAAACCAGTCACAACAAGTCTTTATGGAAGTGGGGGGGGAAGAAAAGAATGAGATAGAAGAGGAGGTGGATGAGAGAGAGGGGGGAGAAGGAGATGGTGATAGTATTATAAGAGGATGAAATTATGGAGTTGATAATAAGGATCTTTTGTGGTTAGACTGTATGGTGCCAAGCAATGCTACGCCAGACACACCTCTTGTCCTCTGAAGCTGACGTCTTGTGGCGTTGGATAGCTGTGTGGGCTGAGCTGGGCGGTGACTGGTGCGCAGAACTTTGTTCTGGTCAGAGCATAGCCCTTTTAGATGATCAAGAGAAATTGTTGAACGATTTTTCTTTTTATGAAAGAAACGGTCTTGTTTAAGGTGCGAAGTTCTTCAAGTTGGTTGGCAATTTCCCTCTAACCTTTTTTTATGAACGGCGCCCAAGTAATTGTTTCTTTCGATGGTCGTTTCGTGACTGTTGAATGTGAGTGATGGGTTCTGCAAAACTGTTGTGCTTATCTGGAGCGCAGGGGTGGTGTTTGACGCAGTGTCCCGAGGCCATCTGGTGTACGTCTCTCTCCTGGCGTGTTGGACTGAACGGGTTTATTACTGCACACTTTCCAAGTGATCCGTTGTTTCAGTTGCCCTTGCAAATTACATGGCATTTATTTCTCCACAACGTACCAGTGGAGGTAATTATATTTCCCCCGTCGTTTTTTTCGTCTTTTTTCTACCCCGAACGAGTGTTGTCGGTAAGTAGAACTCACGACCCCGTCAAGGCTTCGCTCTGCCTTCACATCATTAGCAGGTGCATGACGTCAGCGGCCGGTAACCGACTGCCTTGGTGGTTTTGTTGCATGTATTGCAATGTGGGACCACGCCTCCGAGTTAGTCACCTCGCCTTGGAAATGGCAAAACAAATATGTAAAGTTACTGCAGTTTCATCTAACTGTTCTATAACTGTGTTTCGAATGCGAAATCTGGTTTGTTTTTATTTTTAATTTAATGGTAGATTGCGATTATTTAGACTAGAGAGCAAAAGAAGAATTGAACATAAAAAGCGGTATATTGTTCTCACGTTTTCGTTACAGGAGACTGCTCTTTGATTAAAAGGCAATAGGACCTTAAAGGCTTTTTGTAAAACATTTTGAGCACTGACTGTCCTGTTGATTGAAAGTGTTAACTGTGTGTTGTATATACAAGAATCTGAGTTAATGAATGTTGATGATATGTGCTAAGTAGCCTGAGCAAAGAGGAAATGTACATTTTATTGTGTATATATGCATGTAAGGTTTTTTGCTGAGAATGTTAGTGCTCAGACATAATTAACATTATATCTGATGTAAACCCGTAGCTGCCCGTTGTTTTGCAATGTTGGAGTTAATTACATGGCAAAATACAAGGCCTGTATTTTACTGTACAGGTATTCAAAAAGTACAGTCTATAAAGACCATAGAGGCCAGGTGCTGCGCGTTAAATACCAGTTGTATCAGACAGGACGTCGTGTTGTGCCGAGCGTGATCTCACCTTTACAAGGTCCTTTCCCACATGTGTGATCCCTCCTTCACAAGGACTCTTCCCTCGCCCACTGCAAACTTCCGTCTGCGTGAGATCTCGGAAGCACCTGGGTCTTGGATCTCTCGTTTGCGCAGAGTTATTTTTTTCTCTCCTCCTTTTCGTTGTGTCGCCCCTCCTCCACCTTTCTTTAAATTTCTTGTTTTCGCATTTTTTCACTCCCTCGGCTAGCTGGAGGAATGTGTCAGTTCGTCGGTTACGGCAGGCATTTCCGCCGTCTCACACCAGCCTCGAATTCGTCTGTACGACCTCTCCAGGTACATCGTACTCACCCTCGTATACGGGGTCTTTGGCGTTTTCATGCATTTCTCGTTTCTCGGTCCGCTCCTTGTTATGCGGGATGCACGTGTACAGTGTACGCTGGCCGCATGATGTACCTTCTACCTACGTCATCGTTAAGGCGACGATTTACAGTGTCGAAAATCTTAAAATCAGCAGGAGGCCTTTCTTCAGCATTGGATCTTAAAGGCTGTTGGTAATGGTGATGATTTCCTAGGAGCCTCTGAGCGGGTGTTTGGAAGGTTGTGCCAGTACAGTGAACCCGGTAGTAATGATACCCGGTACTTGCTATGCAAGTACGAGGATTCATTTCAAGTTACCATGGATGGGCTTAGAATCATGCTGCTGCATCACCGAGAAGTTCTAGCTTATGCACAAATGGTGATTATTTTCAAACTTTCAGAACCATATGAATGTTGGTTGTATAAGAGGAAGCGGCTGGTCATGTTTGTCATTGTTATGACTTTCAACTCATAATTGCTTGTGTGGGCGATCAAACAGTTAAAAGATAAGAGTTCATAATAGAAACCGCTTTTTGTGGCGTTTATGATATTACACTAAATAAAACGCCAGTAATGAAGTAGTAGTAGTAACGTACACATTGTATGTTTCTTTGATATTCTGGATTGACAATAGGCAATACAATGAAAACAATTTACAACCGCCCGTGTAATGCAACCTTGATCATGACGCCATAATAAGCTTCTTGTTTCACCACGATGGAAAGAGTGGGGGCA